CCCGCGGGGGAGGCGGCGCACGTGCGGGTGGAGCGCTTCTTTTTGTCGGCGGCGGCGTGGGGCACGCAGCGCGCCGAGCAAGACAGCGGCCAGGGCGCGGCGGCAGAGCTGGCTGCGGCATCCAGAAGTTCTACGTTCCACGGAAAAGGGCAGCCGACGTGCTAGCAGACGGAGCGCTCGAGAAGGAACGAAGGGGCGTTCCTGGCCACAGCGGGCCCAGGCCCTGTCACAAGCAGGCTCCACGACATAGATCTAAAGAACGGCCCGAAAACCCGAGCACCTCCTGAGCCCAAACCGGTCCTTTTGTCAGTGTCTTTAGTGTAACCCAGTCTAGCAAAAATCCCCGGACCACCCCCCGCACAACCTGGACAACCCGTGCACGTTAACATGGCGACAGAACGACCTCCCCAGACCATGCCCTTGAGGGGATCTGGGCAGCCCAACAAGACAACCCCCCTTGGGCAAGCCTCCCAGGGATTTGTCCCAAAAGATATTCGGCGGCGAGTGAGGGGGGGAATGTGAGAAGGAGAAGGCCTCCCCAGAAGGTTCGGACGTCCCCTGGCCTTCTGAGAAGTTTTCGAGGGCCTTCCCCGAAGACAGAAAACCTTCTCAGAAGCCTCGCTCGCCGCTGAGATCTAGCAACGGACAAGCAGAAGTGCGGCCGAGGGCCAAGGAGGGAACCTCGCTCCGAAGTGCAGCACGTCACGCGTGGTGCAGGCGGTCTCGGCGGGTGGGAGACATGCCAGAGATACTCGCAGGAGGTACCCCCCAGGGTCTAGGCTTCTGGATGTCATGACAATGGACACTCTAACCGTTCCACCATTAGATTAAGAATGTATTTTGCAACCTGTCTTCTACATGCTTTAAAGCTTTAAACATGTTCGAAACATGTTCAAAACATGTTCTAGCACTTTGAAAACATGTTCCAAAACGTCCCAACATGGATCCGTCCCACATCTGGAAATTACTTGGCAACATGCATCATATCCATTGATCGTCTTCCACAAGCCTAGGCCCCCCTGAAACAACTCGAACCTGCACAGTGGCCCGACATACCAGAAGCTGTCAAGTCTTTTCTTGGACAAACCATCCCCTTCGCCATGCAAATGTTGTGCTGCCCCCCGCTTTTGCCCCGGCGTCTGCGCCGTAGGATGGCTCGAAAACTGTGTTCGCTTCAGGCGTTTCCACTCAAAGCTTTACCACGGAGATGGAACTGTCCTAACCCTTAATCCCCCAGAGCTTCCGATTCAAGGTTTGTCCTCAAAATTACCCGGCACCCAGACGCAATGTCCAAATCCTCACCTCCAAATGTCACACCAATATCGAGGAATATGCTGACAGTCACATCACGTCAAACACGTAAACTCGCCTCAAATTCTGAATCCCACCTGCACTTTAAATCGGAATCCCACCGTCCAATTCGATTCTCGATGTTTCGCGGTGCGCAAGAAAATGCGACCAAAAGGAAGAGGGCCCCCCACTCGTATTACCCCCCGCAGGGAATAGGGCCCCCCCACAACGACGACGCCGACGAACAACGATCTAGAGCTCATTGTATTGATCAGCGCCCAGGGCGCTGCTGCGTGCATTCTGTCCGTCGCTCAGGAAGATGGGCACGAAGGGGGGAAGGGGCGGGGGGTCGGTTCGGCTGCACGCGAGGGTGGCCCCAGGTAAGAGTGACCTTCGGTGCACGGCTTCAGGTGGGCTGCGGGGGAGGCCAGACCCAAGCCATCCATGCAGGCCAGCCAGTGCTGGCGGATCCCTGGGGGCCCGCACCAAGGGTCACTCCGGCGAAGGGTCACTCTAACATGCGTAAAAAGCAACACGCGAAAGCTTGTGGTCGCCCCCCACCGCGCCCCATGGCGCGTCCAATAGCGCGCCAATCGGACGTAACGCACCTCCCTCATATGGCGCCATTGTGCGCTACTGGGCGCCAGTCGGGCGTTGTTCTGCGCTACTGGGCGCTCTTGGGCACTGTTGGGCGCTAGTTGGACGCTGTTGGGCGCGAAGTGAGTGCTAGCTAGTGGGCGCTGCTGGGCGCGGTGCGCGTGCCGTGGGGCGCTGTGGGACAAACGACTCGCCGACGTACATTCCATGCGAGGCGAGCGGAGACTTCCACTTCTGACTCCCCAGACCTCCGACGACATGATTTCTTCGTGACGTCCGCCCCCAGAGGCTCCGACCCACTCCCCGGGACCGGCTCCTCATCCCGAGCCGCTTCCTGACGGTCCCGAGGCCCGGGGAGGGCCTCCCCAGGCCGAAACTGGTGCAACACCCCCGCGTCGCGTTTTTGTTTTCATTACTCGAGTCGCTTCCTGCCGGTCCCGAGGCCCAGGGAGGGCCTCCCCAGGCCGAAACTGGCGAACCCCCCCCCCGTCGTGTTTTTTTGTGTTTGGCATTACTCGAGGGGGTCTGGGCCTCCAACCTTACGCTTGAGCAGGGACCGACCGTCCCGGCATTCCTATAGTCATACCACGAAATGTTCTTAGAGTCCCAAAAATGTTCCAATGACAAAAACCATGTTCTTAGAACACGAACCCCATGTGTTTAAACAAGCCAGACTCCGCCAGAAATGTTCTAAGAACAGTTCGTGGAGACCACGACAGGTTCTTAGAACATTGTTTGGTGGGGCTATAGTCAGCGGGCGAAGAACGCTACAAAATAAACTTTTTCGCTGTCGGGGGCACCTGTCCCTGGGCGGCTGGAAAGTTTATACCCCCTACGGTGCCACAGGAAGGGTATAAACTTTCCGGCCGCCCAGGGACGGGCGCCCCCGACAGCAAAAACGTTTATGTTACACCGTTCTTCGCCCGCCGACTATGGGCGAGCCAGGACGCTTCGCCGCTGCTTGACGGACGGAGCGCGCCTGTGGGTGCGGCCGCCGGCGCACCGGCCGGGTGGCGGCTTCTGCGGCGCCGCGGAGCCCGCGGCGCGAGAGGCCCCCCGGGCGGAGAGCGCCGCGGCCACTCCCTGCTGCGAGCCGTGGCGGCCGAGGCGGGGCTGGCCGTCGCCCGCGCGGGAGGGGGGCCGGGCCAGGCCAGCGCGGTGCTCGAGGAATGGGGAGGAGGAGGAGCGAGGAGGAGGAGGAGGAGGAAGAGGAGGAGGAGGAGGAGGGAGGAGGAGGAGGAGGAGGAAGGAGGAGGAGGAGGGAGGAGGAGGCGGAGGAGGAGGAGGAGGAGGAGGAGGGAGGAGGAGGAGGAGGAGGAGGAGGAGGTAGAGGAGGAGGAGGGGAGGAGGAGACCACTCGCCGAGCACCTGCTCGCAAGTGGCCCGGATCCGCCGCGGAGATGCTTACGATGCTTCAGATCAAGGCGGACACGTGTGTTTTGTTCAGACGTCGGCGAGTATAGGCACTCTGCGAGCTCCGCGAGTCGTGGAACGCGCTCGGGGACAGACACGTCAACGTCTGAGGATCGAAAACTTCGAGAGTCGCAAAAGTGGAGGATCGAAGCTTCTTGAGGTGCGTCTCTCTGTGGGCCTCTGGGAGGGGCTCCCCTGCGCCACAGCTGGACTTCCTTGTTGGCATTCTTATCGTCTACCGCACCCCTGGAGAAATCCAGGGCTCGAGTTTCAAGAGGAGGACCCGTAACTCCAACGTCTGGAAACAATCAAGACCCCTTGTTTCCGAACTATGTGGATCTACACACCTTCAACAGAAATTAACCCCACAAGCCGGTTGAAGAGAAGAACCACCAAGCTTCTGGACCTGTGGGCATCCCCCCCGACACTCATCTGACAATCCCAGCGGACCAAGCAAGAACAACAGGGCCCAACCTGAACAATGCTTTCCGTCTTCGGTTCGTTTGCGTTCTCCCTCGTTCTGCCCTCGTTCTGCCTCTGCTGCAAAATGAACTCGACAACATGTGGGCGGAATCGCCAAGTCACCGTTCAGCTCGGGCCCTCAGAAGCACTTCCGCCAAAAACGATGATGTGGGCGCCACCTGGCGTAATAAGAACGTCAGTAGGTGTACATCGTTGACATTGTGTATCCATACGTGCCTGATATAACTTGCACCGTCTTTTTGTTTTGTTCTCTCTCTCTCTCTCTTTCTGACGGAGGGACATGGATGGATAAAAAGAGGGGCAGGAACAGAACATCTCACATTATCTGGATGTCGTGGACGCATAGAGCGGCGGGTGCATCTGACACAACCCGGGCCCGGGGACCCTCATGGGCAGGCCCGGCACGGAGTAAACATCACGCGTGCGGTATGAGATCGGGAGCTCCAACCATGGCATTCCGCGCAACCTTGTTCCCCCACGACGTCGCACGTGAGGGGTGCTGCGCCAGGAGAGATGTCCTCCCGGTGGAACTGGGTCCGAGGACGGCCACTGCCTGCAACGCCGACCTTGCCAAGAACACGCGGGCATTGAATCGACCATACAGTCGGGCTTGATTGGAGAGGATACGCGAGAGGACACAAGACCCTTTCGAGGGCCACACCGCCACAGGAATGTACGAAGCATGGGTCGCGAGACACAGGACACGAGGGTACCCTCGATCTGGCAGGGTCGACCTACTAATCCGGGCCGCCTGCAATGTCAGAAGTCTGGGTCCTCCTGGACCCGTCCTGGAGCGGGTTCCGCTGGATCTCGTGGCGCAGCCAGCCGTGGCGACGAGGGAGCTGCGGGAGGCCTGCGAGGAGGGTAAGAGAGGGCCCTCATCATTCCGGTGTCCCCGATCATCGCCCCCGATTCCTCCCAGCTGGGGCGCGCAGAGGGCCACCGGGACTCTCGGCCACACTCTCGGGGTCAGCCCGTTGTCGCGCTGTGGTCCCCAGGCCTGAAGAGCGAGCCCGCAGAGGGCCAAAACACACACGAGCGACGGAAAGAGCCAGGTATTACGCAAGATGGCATAGCGACCCTCACGCGGTGGCTTACGCGGGCGACCAGCGCGGCGCGCCAATTACATAGGATACGATGGCGCTTACACGCGACCTTACGCGGGAACCTTCCGCGCGAATGTCGGCGCAGTCGAACCCGTTTCTCTGCATCGCTCGCATGAGAACTGCGTGCAAGCCCTGTTCCGAGACATCGCCCTCCTCTTCTGCCTGTTCCTCCTCCTCCTCCTCCTCCTCCTTATCATTTTTCTTCTTATTATTCTTCACCTTCTCAATCCGAATGTCTCCAGAGGTCGCACGAAGCCCCCGGAGGTCTTCATGAGGCAAAACCTGGCCACACAAAATAGTCTCTCCTCATCCAGTATACCCATCTGCCCATTGATCTGTGTCGAGGCTGCGAGAATGGAAATCGGGCCCTCTTTCAAGTCGGACCTCTCGGCGGCATGGCGGACCCGTGGGGCGCTCGTCCGTCAAGGGAACGCGTCCCGGGAAAAATATGGTGGGGGCTCATGAGGAAGGGACCTGGGACGGGAGGGTGCGCTGCAGCATCGTGAGCCGAGACTGGCATGGGCGGGAAAGCTGCCGAAGTGCCCATCGGTCGGAAGTAGGCAGAAACATGAAGTAGGAAGGCGTTGAGAACATATTGGATTTTGCCCGCCCCCTAAAGAGGACAGAACAGGTGAAGCCACGCGGTCATTGAAGTAGGAAGGCGCTTGAAGTAGATTGGAATCTGGGACCCCCAAAATACCTACTTTTCAATGACCGATGGGTATTGGATGTGCTGCGCTGCACCCTGCAAGCACGATGTGCTGGACATGTCGCCGCGCCGTTTGTCCTCGACGCGCCCGAGTGGACAATGCTGACACCGCGGCAAACCCACGGCAAGCCCTGCGCCCCGCGCCCAAGCAGGCGACACCGGCACCACGGCAACCCCCACGGCAAACCCTGCGCCCGAGGCGGTGCATGCCCTGGTGACCGCGGCGCCCTCCCCAAGACGTACGGCCGCGCGTCGGAACAAACGGCGCGACGACATTTGCATCGTTGCTGCATCCTGGGTTTACTTTGAATAAGTTCCTTCTGCTCCTTGTTTGCTTCACTCCCCCTCGCCCCCCGCCCCCTCTCAATACTCACTCCTCGGTCCTGGCTCCTCCTCCTCCTCCTCCTCCTCCTCAGCCTGCTTGCTTCTCGCTCCTCCTCCTCGCTCCTCGCTCCTCGCTCCTCGCACCTCGGTCCTAGCTCCTCCTCCTCCTCCTCCTCCTCCTCGCTCCTCCTCGCTCTTCCCTCCCGCCTCTTCCTCGCTCCTCACTCCTCCCCCCCCTCGTCGGTCCTCCTCCTCCTCCTCCTCCTCCTCCTCCTCCTTGCTCCTCCTCCTCCTCCTCCTCCTCCTCGTCCTGTGCGCTGTGGTCCGAGGCGCCCCATTTTGGGACAGCGGCCCGACAGACCACGACCCCCGTCCCGAGCAAGGGGCGGCAGCTGCGGGACGAGCGCGCGGCCGCGATCGCGCTCGCCCCGGTGGCATCGCCGCGAGCGGCGCCAGCGGGCAGAGTCCCGTCTCCGCCTGAGACGGGAGAAGGACATCGTTTGTCTCGAGGCCCATCACGGGAGTGCTGCTCCGATGGCCAAGGGCGGGAGCGATGGTGCATGCACGCGGTGTCCGAAGTGCTCGACTTGCGAGTAGAATTCGATTCTGATTCAACGGGACTGCAGGTGCAAGTGTGGGGCCAAGCTTGAGCTCCACAAGAAGAAGCTTCCCAAAGGCACGGGCGCGGGGAAGGACCAGGCCGAGCTCGACCTCAGCCTTCCCGCCACAGGCACGGCCATGCAGGACCCCATAGCCATCCTCCAGCAAGCGGTGCAGGTGGCGTCCGATCCAGCGATCAAGTTGGCGCTGCAGGCGGCGTTGGCGCAGCAGGCACCCCAAGCGCCGAAGGTAGCCGTCTCGACAAGAGAAGCTCACCGCAAGGCGGAAACGGCCAAGCGCGACGCCAACGCGAAGCACGACGCGGCGGTCAAGGCCGTGGAGCGCGCGGCGGTGCAGCTGGCGCAGGCGCAGCTACGAGAGCAGGAGGCCGTCCGCATTTTGGCACAGGCGGAGCTTGCCAAGAGGACTGCGGTGAAGGCCTTGGCAGCCGAGGCGGGTTACCACGCCAGCCTCATCCTCGCCCGAGAAGACGGGCAAGGAAGCGGGGGACCTCAATTTCGATGTTGTATGGGACGAGTCCTTCTCTGACTCACTTCGGGACGGCTCCCTGGAGTGCGAGGACGCGGAGAAGCAGGAGCTGCTCCAGCTGGAGAAGGACCTGGTCGCGGCCAAGTCCTACATCGGCGAGAAGGGCGACACGGTGCGCGAGTGGCACTCGCGCGTGGGGGCTCTGGAGTACAAGCTGTCCACGAGGAGGGCCCAGGAGCGCGAGGGCACCGATGGCGCGCCGCAGGCCGCGGACGAGCCAGGCGCTGGCGAGGGCGCGGCCATGCCGCCGACGGCGGCGGCGGCGCCCAGGGCGCCCGACACGGCGGGGGGGGGGAGGACTCGCCGACGGTGACCCAGGAGCGCGCGGCCGCCGAGATCCGCCGAGGTCGCGTGCATCCGCAGCGCCAGGGCGGCAGCGACGCAGGCAGCGGCGGCCGCCGCCGCCCGGGCCTCGCAGGCGGCCCTTAGGGGGGCAACGGCCACGGGCGGCGGGGCGCGGCGCGGCGGCCGCCGGCGCGCGAGGCCGCGAGGTCCCTGCAGCGCCCCTTCCTCGGCAGCGAGGGGCGGCGTGGGCCACGGCCTCACGGGCGTCGGCGGCCCCCTCTGCGGACGCTGACGCGCGCGCCGTGGGCGCGAGGAGGGCCTCGCGTTGCGGCGGGCCTTCTTCGTCGGCTGCGTGCACGGCGGCGGCGGCGGCGGCTGGGGGAGCGCCAGGCGGGCCAGGAACTGAGCAACCTCAGCGTGGTTCGAGCGGCTTGCGTGCAGTCGACGCTGCAGCAGAACCCCAGCCAGCCTCGTCGTCTGGGGACAACGAAGTGGTGCAGATATGTTTCTCGAACGTGGGGGTGCCTGATGCACCTCGCTGGCAACCACATCTTTCCACAGGTTGCTACCTGTGAGACGTGTGCCGGAACGTCTTCGGCCAAGCAGTGGAACAAGTCAGCACGCCACCATACATTTATACCTCTGTCCAATGCTGCTCGTGCCGCGGGGACTCAGTGCCGCGCCGAGTCAGGCACGCTGCGGGCGACGGAGTGCGGAGAGATGTTTTTTTTTGTCGCAGGGCCACAGGCAGGCGCGCGGTCTGTGCGGCGGCCGCTTCGGGGAGCTGCGCGCGGATGGACAGGAGCAGCTGGCTGGGTGCTTGCCAGCTGTGGTCCACCAGCACGGCTATAGCATACTGATCATTGTCTTTCGCGGTAGGTGTAGCCTTGGTGTGCGTGCTGAACATCTCGCTGGATCCGCTCGGCTCGGCGCTCTTTTGCAGGCCCTTCAGCTTCCGTGGGTGGTCTTGGGCGATTTGAATGTTCTCTCGTATGAGCTCCAGCGCGTCGGATTCCTGTCTAAAATCGGAGCGTCAGCGCTGCAAGCTCCCGTCGAGAGCACGTGTGTTGGAGCTAATGGAGCGTCTCACATCGACGATGCGTCAATTTCCAGAGCGGCTGCTCCATCTGTCTTGGGGCTCCAGGCTATCCGGGACGTCCCGTGGAAGCAGCATTGCGGGTTAGTTTTGCAACGTAAAGGGGCGGGTGAACAACTGATAACTCGTTCGCCCATCCTGCCTCAGCGTCTGGCCCAGGTCTCTCGCCCACAGCAGCAGGAGACCCCTGGCTCGAGGTCTTCCAAGGCGCGTCGTTCGCAGGCGGTGCGCCAGTGTCTTGCCCGTGAAAAGCAATTGGACCGTGCTTCACTGTTGTTCGGTGGTTTACTTGAAGACCCGAAGGCTAGTTAGAATGTTGTTCCTGCCCAGGGCTCAGGCGGTGACGCCGCGCCCCCTGAGGCAACCCCCTGATGACCCCGAGCTGTGGGAAGGGCGCCATGTAGGATTCTGGGACGATGAGGTGGATCCATGGGCCGAGGAACCCAATTTTGAAGAACCCCTCCGTCCTCCCCCTTTCTCCTCCTCCTCCTTCCCCCCTCCCTAATGGGGCGCTTGCGCCCGGTGCTCCTGCCTCAGGACAGGTCTCGCGTAGTGTAGGGGGTGCTCCCATGAATTCGTCTGACCCAGTTCCAGCTGCGAACGAAGTCCCGAATGATCTTGTCGAGCCCCCCTGGCGAGAACGACCCTAAGCAAGAGGCAGCAAGTCAATCCGATTCTCACGGTGGTACTCCCACTGTTCCCGCTCCCTCCGCTGCTCCTGCCTTTGCGCTCTCACCCGGCCGCTGGCGTTTGGCTCGAGCCCGTTCGGGCTTCCACATGCGCACTCTTGATCGAGTCTGTGCACCCGTCCGCGACTCCCCTTCATGCGATGTTGGGAGAGCGCACGTCCTCAGCGCGAGTGGCGCCTTTTCTGCTTGGAACGCGGCGGTCGAGGCAGTGCATCATGAGCAGGCGGGCGCGGACGAAGCTTGCCAGGCTGGTCAACCCTCGCGTTGCGACGGCCAGCCCACGCTGGTCGAGAGGGTGCATCACTCCCAGCATCAACGCGGTATGCCGTTCAAGGATGCGATAGCCAACTGGCGGGAGACAGTACGCGTGATTTGAAGCAAGATGGGCAAACGTGGACGTCGAGGCAATATTGTTGCACAACTTCGGGAGTTAGCCCAGGCTGGCTCTAAGTTGGGCTCTCAGGCGCCTGACGGAGTACAAAAGTGCGTTGGGGCTGGCCCGTTTTCTACACCGTTGACTGTGTGGCAGCAGCTTCTGCAGGACCTCGCTCGGGCACCTTGGGAGCAGATAGAGAATTTCAGTGTAGAGGCGGCTGCCATTGCGGGCCGGGCGCGGACTCGTGGGGTCTCGGCCTCCCTGGCCGAGCTCAAGTCTTGGGACTGCCGGCAAGTCCACCACGGTGGCCATCTTCAGGACGTCCAGGGAGGTGCCGCAGTCGGCCGTCCAAGTAGGAGTTGGGCGGCGAGATGCACTGTGACCCGTGCGACTCGGTCGATCGTCGTGCGGCTCATTGGCAGACATCGTGGACGTCCAAAGAGGTCAAAAGCAGATGCGAGGTTCGGGGAATCTTCGACTGCATCCATGGCCGCGCGCTCATGGAACCCCTGGCCCTCTTAGATGCGGACGATCTCCGACGTGCACGCCGTGCCATGAAAGTGCGGGCAGGGCACGGGATCGACCACTTGTCACCGCTCGACCTAGAGCGCCTGCCAGATGAAGCATTGACTGAGTTGGCGCAACTGTTAAACATGTTCAGGGCGAGCCAGACTTGGCCGTGGCAGTTGATGGGGGTCTTGGGCAGATTGCTGCCTAAGAGGACGAAGGGACAGTATCGTGTGATCGGCCTGACGTGTGCATTGTGCAGAGTGTGGTCGTTGGCGCGGGAACCGATTGTCCAGGCATGGCCTCAGGCTGATCCACCAGCCTGAGATGCTGCGGTCAGAAGGAACTCGTCTCTCAAGGAGGCTTTCATGCCGGCCTTGGATGACGAGCTCTACACCGCGCTCAAGATGTCGAACGGCCACGCTATGGCCGACATCCAGAGCTTCTACGACATGATGGAGTGGGGCACATTAGTCAAGGGTGCTTTCAGCTATGGATTCCTAGCTGTGATGCTGGGTTTAGAATTGCAGATCTGCGCATGCAAGAGGATGCTGGATCAAGGTGACGCGGTGTCGCTGTCCTTCCAGGCCACGAGGAACATCATACAGGGCGTACTGTACGCGCTGGCACGCGCTTTGCGCGGTGTATCGCCAGCCTCATCATGGAGGGCTTGACGGTGGCCCACCCAGCCTTATCAGAGCGTTTGTAAATCGACGATGTGTCTCAGACGGCGGTTGGATCGAGCCAGCTTGTTCGCGAATCCTTGATCGAAGGGGTCACAGCCGTTCATGACATGTTCGAGGATGAAGGTTTGCAATTGGCTCCTAAGAGTGCCATCGCGTGCTCGCCCATGCAAGACGCCAAGGCCATTGTTCATGAGTTGCGCCGTCGTGGAGTGAATGTTCAGTGCGTCCAGCAGTTGACATACCTCGGTGTCGACATGAGTTGTGGCAAGCGCTGGCCAGATCTACTCGGATCACGCGCGAAACCATCACAGAGAGGCAACACACCACACTGAGGAAGTGCGATTGCGCCTCACGCAAATTTCGATCTTTGAAGGATATCGAATTGGCGGGCCCTCAAGCGGGGGCCTGCTAGGGGCCTCAAATTCTGGGTCTGCCTGCTACCGCGCTGTTGGACCTACGGCGGCCGCTTGGGGCTGCTTCAGGGCATCGCCGAGGCCGATGCTTGACGACGCTGCTGGACCTGAAGGCGCCGGGGGCCGACCCAGGCTACGCCCCCCGCCCCCTCGGCAATACTCAGAGCCATGGGTACGGTGCTGGTTGGAGTTCTCACGTTTTCGAGGCCCTAGCTCTCGTGTGTGGGCATCCGCTGTGCAGCAGTTCAATGAGCTCCCTCCTCAGCATAGGTGGTGTCACGTGCGCGGCCCTCTCACAGCTGCCATCAATTACCTGGTCAATGCTGGATGGAAGATGCCTCAAGCAACTACCTGGCTTCCACCGTGCGAGGAAGGGACGACGGAATATGGATGGTGTTTTGAATCTGCTGAGTTTCGTGCCTTCGACCAGTCGCGGGATTTGATAGACAGATTCACCCAGTCGCTGCAGGACCGCTTTTGGAAGGAGGCTGTTCGTACTTCATACCGCGGAGGCGGAATGGAAATGGCATCGACAAATCCAGCTTGCGTCGGTATCTATATCAGCTCGAATGCATCCCAGGTCATGGTGGGCAACTCAGCGAGCTGATGATGGCGATCGCTGTCGGCGGATCGTGGACGGATGGCTAGAAACAGGGGATAAGCATTGAGGCCCCCGATATGTGTAGGAGATGCGGCAAACTCCCCATCACCGCGTGTGGGAGTGCGAGTGTAATCGTGATTCGCCTGTTTGCGATGCGTCCGATAAGCTGGTCGTCCAAACCCTTGCCCAAGCTAGTAGTTGTGAGTGCTACTGGCTTAAGGGGTCCCATACCCAGCGGTATGGTTTATGTTGATCCCCCGTGTGACCACGAATTTTGGGTCAGGAGCCATCCGAATGATGAACTCCTTGACCCTTATTTCGGGGTAGGCACGCTCCTCCTCCCGCTCCTCCTCTTCGGTGACTCGTCTGGGGGAAAGGACACCCATGACCCCAGGCTCCGACGAGTTGGAGTGGCAGTGTCTAGCAGCCCAGAGCCGACCCGAAAGTCGGACGTTAGGCTTATATATGGCCCATTGCCTGGTCGGCACAAGTCCGTTCCCAGAGGTGAGCTGTTCTGTTTAGTTAATTCGTGCAATGGCCCAGTCCAGGGGACCGATGGTTTCTGTCACTGACAACGAAGCTTGTCGTGGTTGTTGGGCTAATCTTTTCCTGACCCTGAGAGGGCCGAATGCCGATTTGTGGCGGAAACTTGGAGGAGTCATTCAGGCGACGGACCGTCATCCTGGTGATCTTGCTGTGCTCCAGGCCCCGTCCCACTTAGAGGCTGAGGAAGTTGTTGCACGCAATCTGTCGGGGCCCATTGTTGCGGGGAATAT